AGAATGATGGACACCGAATTTGCAAATGAACTAAGTCAATTGTGGCTCATTATTTATATAGATGACATTATTATTTTTTCAGATAATTGGAATGACCACTTAGATAGGTTAAGTACAGTACTAGATAAAGTCATCAAAATGAATATGAAAATTTCACTAGCTAAGTGCCAGTTTGGATTTTCGGAGCTTAAAGCTTTGGGACATATAGTGAGTGGCTTGTCTTTAGGAATTGACAAACATAGAGTAGCAGCAGTGTTGCTCAAACCTACACCTCAGAATGTCAAAGAAATGCAAATGTTCCTTGGTTTTGCTGGATACTATAGGTTGCATATAAAGAATTTTGGGTCAATGGCCTCTAGTCTTTATAAACTCTGTAGCCCCAGTGTAGTATTTGAAATGACTGCTGAAAGAGTTGAAGCTTATGAGTCCCTTAAATTTGCTTTAACAAATGCTCCCCTATTGTTTCACCCTGACCCAAAAGAAAGGTTTAAATTGTATGTTGATGCGTGCATGGAAGGCATTGGTGCGGCTTTGCATCAAGTACAAACCATCAATGACAAACCTGTAGAAGGGCCAATTTGTTTCATTTCAAGACAACTCAAAGATTCTGAGAAGAAGTACGGTGCTTCTCAACTTGAATGTCTTTGTCTAGTGTGGGCCTTGGATAAGTTGTATTACTATCTAGATGGTTGTGAGTTTGATGTCATCACAGATTGCAATGCCCTTAGGTCTTTATTGAACATGAAGACACCCAATAGACATATGCTCCGTTGGCAAATTGCTATCCAAGAATGGAGAGGGTCTATGACAATTGTTCACAGAGAAGGCATAGTGCATAAAAATGCAGACGGACTTTCTAGATGGGCTTTGCCAAATGACCCTAATAATCCTGCTTATGATGCTGAAGAAGCTGAAACAGGTTCACCTGTTCTAGATATTTTGCCTTTTAACATGAGGATGTCTGAGTGTCTTGCGCACTGGGCTTTACCAAATGATGAAAACAATCCAGCTTTTGAAAAAGAGTCCTTTGTTGACACTAATCCTATTATGGCTATTTCTATATCTGGATTGTCATCATCCTTTTGGGAATTAATAGAAAAAAGCTATGAATCTAACAAGAACACCGTAATTTTGGTCAAATTACTTAAGTCACCTTACCCAGATAAAGGTCTAGTTGAAGGACTTGAAGGAATTTGGAAAAAACATTTCTTAGAAAACAGATTTGTGTTGTTAGACAAGTTGTTGTACCACAGGCGTGAACACAACTCCTCAGTAGTGCTTATTGATCCCAGTCACATCAGTATAATTTTGAATGAGTGCCACGACAGTATCACTTCTGGCCACTTTTCGAAAGAAAGGACTCTGAATAGAGTCCAGGGTCTGGCTTGGTGGCCAGATTGGAAAAACCAAGTGTCAGATTACTGTGATTCTTGCGACAGGTGTCAAAAAGCCAATAAAGCTACGGGAAAACGCTTTGGCTTGTTACAAACAATTGATGAGCCAAAGTCAAGATGGGAAATCATCAATATGGACTTTGTTACAGCCCTTCCGGCAGCAGGACCAGAAAATTATAATGCTGTGTTAGTAGTCTGTGATAGATTTTCCAAAAGAGCAAGATTCTTGCCTTGCTATAAAGATAGTAGTGCAATGGATATAGCACTTATATTTTGGAATAATATTGTCAGTGATGTTGGGTGTCCACGGATCATCATCAGTGACAGAGACCCAAAATTTACCTCAGATTTTTGGCAAAATTTGTTTGAAATTTTGGGCACTAAGTTAGCTTTCTCTACAGCTTATCACCCTCAAACTGATGGGCTAGCAGAAAGAATGATCCAAACTCTTGAAGACATGATCAGAAGGTATTGCGCGTACGGAATTGATTTCAAGACTAGTGATGGTTACACTCATGACTGGGTTTCTCTTTTACCAGCACTAGAATTTGCTTACAATTCCAGTAAACATTCAGTCACGGGCATGACTCCTTTTGAACTTGAAAGAGGATGGATTCCACATATGCCAAAAGACTTTCTGCTTTCCAAGACAATTGAATTGCACCCCAGTTCAGAGTGCTTTCAAAAAATGATGTTCCAAGCAGAAGAAAAAGCTGCACTCTGTGTAAAAGAGGCTGCTGAATATAACAAAGAGAGGTGGGATAAAACTCATAGAGACCATGATTTGAAAATTGGTGACTTAGTTCTTATCTCTACGGTAAACTTCAATAACTTAGGGGGACCTCGAAAACTAAAAGATGCTTTCATAGGACCATTTGTTATTAAAGAATTTCACGGTAGAAACGCTGTTGAAGTTATTTTAACAGAAGAATTTAGTCAAAGACATCCTACTTTTCCTATAAGTCTTTGCAAAAAATACATTGTACAAGATGGTAGTTTTAACCGGTCATCTGATGAAGTCATTGCTCCTCCCATGACAGATGAAACCGTACCAAGAACTGCAGCTAAAATCTGAAAGAAAAAATTGTCAGAAAAATGGAAAAGACTGCAATTGTACTTAGTAAGGTTTAAAGATTGTCAACCTGATCAAGAC